CATCACCCTCCCTTTAACCCCTCCCCCCCATTTCCTCCTCCTGCCTTTCCTTCACGTGCACCTCCCAGTCCCCCTGGTCGGGGCAAGCAAGTCGATCTTCCTCGGCGCCGCCGCCGCCTCGACCAACGCGCGCGCGCGTTTGCCGACGGCTAGATCGCGAAACCTTTCGGGCAATCCCGCGGGCCGTGCCTTTCACACAACCCCGCGGGCCGTTGGGGCGCGGGGGCGGGCTGTCGGGACAACCTCGCGGGCCAGGCCTTTGGGACAACCCCGCAAGCCTCGAAGTGGGCGCGGCCGCGTTCAGGCGGGGAGCAGCGCGAAGCCCAGCCGTGTTGCGAGCTGTTCCGCTTCGGTTGTGGAACTTGTCGCTATGTCGTCGAAGTCCCAAAGCGCCTTCCGCAGGGACGCCCGCGGCCCGCGCTGTAGGAACTCTCGCGTGGGCGGCCGCAGGATCAGCATGTTCCGAATGCGAGTGGCGCGGGGGAACATGACGCAAAAGGTGCAGCCACCTTTGCGCGTCCGACATACCCGCGCGACCAGCGTCATCATCCCTGGCGCCGTCGATGGTGATGCCGTCGCCGCGTCGGGGGATTGGGTTCAGCCGAGGCAGTGGCCCTTTTTCGCCGCCAGTACGCCACGCCGTTACACCCAACCGCGATAGAACCTTCGTCGCCACAATCGTTGTCCCTAGTTACCCCTTCCCGTCCCTCTTCATTTTTTTCATTGTTAAGGTTAATGCTGTTTGGTTGTTATTTCATATGTCTGCTTCTCTCTCTCTCTCTCGCTTTCTGTGTTTCTCTGTATGCCTATCATTATGTTGTTGTTTGTTTTTGTTGTGTCATCGTTCCGTTTTTTTTTTTTTTTTTTTTTTTTTTTTTTTTTGTTTTTTTCATTTGTGCATGCAACTATGTGTACGTGTGTATATATACACGCGCGCGCGTTTACATGTATAATTAATTCCCACCAGCCGGCGACTCCTGGAACGAATGCTCCAAGAATCGACTGGCCCACCTCGTTTCCTCACCATCCCCCGGTGCCGACCAGCACATGTGGGGAGGGCAACATCCCCGGGATCTTACTGCAATCGGCTCATTGGCCACAGGAAAACCACGACGAACGGGGGCGAAGGAGGCTTGGGCCGCGAAGTGCCCAAATCGCGGTGGCTGGTGGGTTGAAACCTGGCGGTTGGGGTATGTCAATGGATTGGGCGCGCAGTGAATGCGAAGTGGGTGGGGCGTATTTATGTGCGTGGTCGGGGGTTCAGTGTTTGTTGGCGTCCGTGCCGTCGTTGTCACGGATCAACAAATGCCCCTTCAAATATGGGGGTTTCGAGACGATCCCGTTGAATAATGAACGGTCGCGCCGTCGGATGCCTGGGCAACGGAAGCCATTTCGCCTCGCCCCCCCCGTTTCCTATGCCTCCGGCGTCCGGCTGGCATCGGCCTGGCGCGCCTTTTTTCGGGGGGGCAAACCGAGGCAGCCCGATGGAGAGGGGATCTGGGGTGCCGCAGAGGCGGGGGAAGGCGGGGCTGGCTCCGGCCTCGACCCTCAATCCTCCTCCTCTTCCTCCTCCTCCTCCTCCTCCTTCTCCTCCTCCCCCTCCTCGTCCTCCCTCCGGCGGGGGAAGGCGGGGCTGGCTCCGGCCTCGACCCTCAATCCTCCTCCTCTTCCTCCTCCTCCTCCTCGTCCTCCTTCTCCTCCTCCCCCTCCTCGTCCTCCTCCCCCTCCTCCTCCTCCTCCTCCTCCTCCTCCTCCTCCTCCTCCTCCTCCTCCTCCTCTTCCTCCCCCCCTCCCCCTCCCCCTCCTCCTCCAAGAAGGGTGGGGGGGGGCATGGACCCTCAGTCGCCCCTGCTTAGCCGATCGGGGCCGGGGTGCCACCCTGCAGCGTGGCAAAGGGACGCTTGGTTTCCCCACATTGGGGTCCTGCCGCCTTTTGATCGGCGATGTATGGCCGATTCCCGGCTCTTGCCCCCTTCCCTTCAGGAGTGCGAGGGTCGGGGGCGGAAAAGAGGGGGGTGATGACTAGGGGGGGGGGGGACATCATGGCGGGGGCCATGATATTTCCCCAGATTTCATGGCGCCTCTTCTTATTTCATTACTTCCCTGGCCTCCCCGCTGGGCCGCGCACATGCCGACGGTCATGATTTGCACCCCCCCCTCTTGGACACCCCCCCTCTTGGCCGCTCCCGAGAGGGTGACGGCGAGGAGTAGGACGAGTAGGAGGATCACGGTTTTTTCGGAAGCGTTTGGGTCTCTTCTCGTGCCCTTGAAAGCCTCCATGGAGGCCCCCAGGGGCTCCTGGGGACCGATGCGGGGAGTGAGGGTGAGGAGGCGCAGGGGGAGGAAAAGGGATGAGGAGGAGAACGACGACGAGGAGGACCCATCTCTCTGAGGACCGAGCGCGAGGAGGAGGAGGAGGAGGAGGAGGAGGAGGAGGCGAAGGAGGGAAGAGGGAGGGAAATGGAGGCCCACTGGCCCCCTTCACCTCTCTGGATGGGATGATGACCCCGAGCCCCGACTCGTGTCTGGACATTCCCGGGTCGACTTTTGACCCGACTCGTTCGGCTACACGTAAAAGGTGTCGGAGAGGGGCCAGCCGAGGCGACAGCAGCCTTCTCTGGTGTTTTTCGTTATTTTTGTGCCTCCTGGATGCGTCTGGTCGCCACGGCCTGATCGTCCTTGATAGCGATTTTGATTTTGAGCGGATGTGGGCCGTCATCTCAGCTGCAGTCTGGGGGCTCGCAGTCTGGGTGGGGTATCATGGCGGGGGGCACGATCTATATATACATATATATAGAGAGAGAACAAAAACAAAAAAACAAAAACAACAAAAACACATTATACACATATCCCTATGTGAATATAGATATAGATACCACTCTCTCTCTCGCTCTTGAGATTTCATGGCGCCTGTTCGTTCTTATTTCAATACGTGCCCAGCCCCCCCTCTTAGGCCGCGCACATGCCGCTGGCCATGATTTGCACCCCCGCCCCCCCTCTTGGACGCCCCTTTTGTGGACGCCCTCGAAGATGGGCCCTGCCGAAGAGCCGCCGTCATCTCAGCTGGCCCACCTCCGACCAACGTTTCGCCGGAGTGGCCTCCGGAGCGTGGCTTTCGGCAGGCGCAGGGAGGGGGCGGGGGAACCTGAGCACGCGCGCCGCTGTCGTCGCACCGCGTCTCACGAGCGGCCAGCAGCGCACCAAATCCGTAAGGGCTTCGCTCCCTGCCGCCGGCCCCCTCTCTCGGAGAATGGGAGATGCAAAAGCTAAATCATGAGGTCTGGGCGCCGCCGTGAAGCAGTGTCGGAACCTATTTGTTTTTCGACCCTGACCCTACGGGTCTGCGTGAGGGGTGCCGCCGAATTTTAGAAAAGTTGCAAATCCCTTGTGTTTTTGGACCCTGACCCTGCCGATCTGCGTGAGGGATGCCACCGAATTATAACAAAGTTTCAAATCCCTTGTGTTTTTGGACCCTGACCCTGCTGATCTGCAGGGGGGTTGCCGCCGAATTTCAGAAATATATCAAATCTCATGTGTTTTTGGACCCTGACCCTGCCGATCTGCATGAGGGGTGCCACCGAATTTCAGAAATGTGGCACATCCTTTGTGTTTTTGGACCTTGACCCCGCCGATCTGCGCGAGTGGTGCCACCGAATTTTAGAAAAGTTGCAAATCCCTTGTGTTTTTGCACCCTGACCCTGCCGATCTGCGTGAGGGATGCCACCGAAATTCAAAAATGCAGCAAATCCAATATTTTGTAAACCCTGACCCTGCCGATCTGCGTGAGGGGGGTCACCGAATTTCAGAAATGTGCAAATCCGATGTGTTTTTGCACCCTGACCCCGCCGATCTGCGCGAGGGGTGTCACCGAGTTTCAGGAAAGTTGCACATCCTTTGTGTTGTTGGACCCTGACCCTGCTGATCTGCAAGAGGGGTGCCGCCGAATTTTTTAAAAGTTACAAATCCCTTGTGTTTTTGGACCCTGATCCCGCCGATCTGCATGAGGGGTGCCACCGAATTTCAGAAATGTGGCAAATCCTTTGTGTTTTTGGACCCTGACCCCGTCGATCTGCGTGAGGGGTGCTACTGAATTTGAGAAATGTGGCAAATCCCTTTTGTTTTTGGACCCTGACCCCGCCGATCTGCGTGAGGGGTGTACATTTTTATTTACCCCAGCAATTCCGACAATACAATTGTCTGTGGTAAAGATGCCCGTTTTGGGCCTCCCCCCTTCGCGCGGTCCATCAACAAGGAACAGTAAGCAGCAAGAAGCCATCAATCCTCCTCATCGAGGAGCAAGGAGCAGTAAGCAGTAAGCAGCAGTAAGCAGCAAGGAACGAGTTTACCCTTTCCCAGCATCACTCCTCCTCCTCGTGCTCCTCCTCCTCCTCCTCCTCCTTCTCGTCCCCCTCACCCTCCGCCTCCTCCTCCTCCTCCTCCTCCTCCTCCTCCTCCTCCTCCTCCTCCTCCTCCTCCTCCCCCTCCCCCTCCGCCTCCTCCTCCTCCTGCTTCTCCGTCACTCTCCCCTGAGATCCTGGTGACTCAATTTTTCCGAGCTGGGCGTTTTCGCATCATTTCGGGACCCAGGACCCTCACGGTTCGATCTGGCTTGGGAAATGACACACGAAGATAGGGTTCAGGGCTCCAGGCTCGATTTTTCACGGCGTTCCAATTTTTTGAGACTTCGGATCTCAGGGTCTTGCGTGCAGTTGGGTCGTGTCCAGACAGCGCTGGAACAGCGCGCTGGCGGTCGGAGGAGAAGCGCGGCTGACGACGACGACGACGACGGCGGCGGCGGCGGCGGCGACTGCGACGGCGACAACGGCGGCGACGGCAGCAGCGGCGACGGCGGCGGCACCGACGACAGCGACTTGGACTGCGTCGGCGGCGACGGCGACGGCGGCGACACCGACGTTCTCGCGACGGTTGCGGCGGCGACGGCGCCTTGGTGCCCCGACGCTCACACAGCGCAGCCTCGCGCGGTGCAAGCGCGGCGGCAGGTGGACACGTTCACGGGGCTGCGGCGGCGGGAGGACCAGCCGCCAGGCGCCGGGGGGGAGCTCCGAGCGCCCTCGGCAGAGAGCGGCGGGGGGCACAGGAAACTCCTCCTCCTGCTCATGACGCCGCTGCTCCCCCTCCTCTTCAACAGGTATTCCTTCTTCCTCCGCCGTGCCTCCTCTCTCCTTCTCCTCCCTGGCACCCTACTCCTGCTCCTGCTCCTTTCCACCTCCCTCCTGGATTCTCCTCCTTCCGCGTTTTCGTCCTTCTCCTCCCCCTCCTTTTCTACTGCTTCCTCCTCTCCTTCTCCTTCTCTCTCCTTTTCCTCTTGCTGTCCTTCGCCGCCTGGCTAGTCGGGCAGTTGGCAGGGATGGCGCCGAACAGTGAAGTAGCCGTCTCGAGGTGGACGTTGCTCTTTCAGGTGTTCGGCGCCGTCATCTCCCTCCTCTTTCCCCCTCCCTTCTCTCAGGTCGGACGAAGGGGGAATTGAGAAGGGGGGCACAAATGTTGCTGGGCGCCTTCGTCGATACATGTGCGCCTCTGGCTCTGGGCGGCCCCAGGACAACCAGCTACTTAACGTGAGCTGGTTCGCCATCCCCTCATTTACTATCTATCTAGCTGCCTTCGTCAAGTCCCGCCACCGTGCCAGCCATGAACCTTGGGTTGAGATTGGCAAGAAGCCGTAACATGTGGGAGAGCCGTAACATGTGGTATTTTCTTCCGCGTAGGTTCGGCGCTCGTGTTGAAATTGAATCGGAAGGTGCTTACGTATGATAGTATCTAAGTATAAGCAGAATAGGGAGAAAAGAGGACGAGGAGAAGACGTTGAGGAGGGGGATGGTAGCGGACGAGGGGACGAGGGGGATGAAGAATACTAATAATGAGACGATGATGATGATCGTTATTCGGGCTAAGAGAACTATGCACATGCACCGCTCCTGGGCTCAGGATGGGCCTTGCCAGAATCGGTGTATGTGCATAGTTCTCTTTCCTCTAGTTATGACGATACGTTGATCATGATGGTGTCGATGGTGGATGTGCTTCGATTCGAGGCGGTTAAAGGCGAACCTGGAGCTCGTGCGTGAGGCCGCGGCGCAGCGCGGGGCCATGAGGACGCGCTGACTCGGTGAGCGAGAACCTCCTGGGTGGGTAGAAGCTACCCGTGGGTGCAAGACTCAGATTCTTAATTTTCGCGCAGCAGAATTGGTAGGTGCACTGCTCCACACGCAAGCATCCGAAAAGGCCCGATCCGAGCAGAAGCAGACCGCGCCATCCTCTGGCGCTGAAAAATATAGAGGTGTCTGCAGGCGGCGTTCTTTCTATGATGAAGCCACTTTTCGTGGACGGCCCACAAAAACGGGATCGCCTGCGCCGACATTGGCGCGTAAGCTGCCCGCGTAAGTTCGCGCGTAAGCGCCCTCGTCTCCAATGCAGCGTGCCGCGCTGGCGGCCCGCGTACGATGCGGCGTAAGGTCGCTGCGTCATCCCGCGTAAGACCCGTTTTTGATCGTCGCTTAATGTTGGGTCTCGAGTCGGAGGCGAATGTGCGCCAATATTCTCATTGGCGCAAGGTGTCTCCTGGCGGGAGTCTTGGCGGGCACAGGGCGCGAGTGCGCTTTCCGCCCCACGCTGTGCGGCCACGATTGGATGTCGCATCGGCCCTGTCGCCGTCAGCCACCTGAGAGGCTGTGGATTTTTTGTTGCGTCAGCGGCCAGGCAGAGTGACTGCGCTGGCGGAAGAGCTAACTAAACGGGGGCACCGTTGCAGCGAATTGCGCCACAATTCAAGAGCGAAAAACGAGGAGGGCGGGCAACCAGGGGGGGGGGGAACAAGGCGAGGGCCGCTCAGGGGGACCAGTCACGCCGGGAGCCCGGAGCGAGTGGCGCGGCCGGCCCCGCCAGCAGGGAAAACGGCGCTGCTGCGCCGGGGTTCCAACGACGGCGGGGCGCAATGCAGGTACACTGACGAGTCCAGCGGGTCAAGAGGCTGTAGAAACAGGAAGATCGCCCTGAAGCACTCAGGCCCTGCAGCGCTTGCTTGCGAATTGGGGGTTGTGGAGCGCGCGAGGGGGCGTGAAAGAATCCTTCGAGTGTCGTCCCGAGCTTCAAAATATGTTTTAGCTGTTCCAGTCGCTGCTGTGTGTCAGTAGCCCTTCGGTCGGCCTTTGGCTCAAACCCTCTAGCTCAAGGTTGGCCGGCTTGGCCTGCTGTCCAGAGTTTTCCTTAGATTTCGGCCGACCTGAGGGGCGCTGGGAGGGGCCTCTTCCTCTTGGCGGCCCTCTCGCTGGTGCCACGTCTCCAGTTCCTGGCGCGCTGCCGCGGACGGCCGTGCGGTGCCTCCAGCGGCTGGCGCTGGCCGCGCGGCTCGCTGCCGCCCTGGCCGCCGTCGGCGAGGGCCCTCGTGGCCTGGCTGCGGGGATGCCCCGCTGGCCGTCGCTGGCTGCGGCCGCCGCGGCGGCCGGCTCGGGCCGTGCCGGGGCCGGACGCTCGTGACCCCTTGCCAACTCGGGCGGCCGCTCGGGCGGCGGCCGGCGCCGCTGCCACCAGCTCGGTTGCTGGCGCTGCTGCAGGCCGCCGCCGTTGGCTCGCCCGCCGCGGCGGCCGTTCGGGCGGCCGCCGATGCTGCTGCTGCGGCGGCGGCCTGGTCGGTTTCTGGCGCCGCTGCCGCGGTCGCCGCGATTGTTGCCGTCTACGCGGCGGCTGGCGCGGCGGCCGCGGATGCGACTTCTATGTGCGGCCGCGCTCGGGCCTGCTGGCCGCTGCTGAACTCCAGCGCGCCACCGAAGCTTGCGCACACGAGGTCTTTCGGAACGAGGAGGAGTAACGTAATTATGTTTTTGCTACCTGTTGTTGCCTGGAGCTTCAGGGCCTCAAGCCGCAATGGACGACATTCCGTCCGCCATTCAGCCTCTTGACGACAGCCCGCTCTGTTAGAACGGCTTGAGCCACCGTGGCTTGGGCTTGGAGCGATGGGGAGGAAGCGAGGAGGGGGAGATGTGGAAGAGAGAGGGACGGAGGCTGGGAGGGATGGGGGGGATGGAGAGGGACAGTCAGACGGAGTGAGGAAAGTCGGAAAAGATCCGCACAATGAAGAGTGGAACGACGAGGAGTTGGAGCCGGGAGAGAGGGGGGGAGGAAAGAGATGGACTGCGGGACGGATGGTCGGAATGAGAGAGCCCAAGGTAGGGAGAGCCGAGGGAGGCATGTCGGAGGGTGGGAGGGAGGAGCCCGCGAGGCCTGGGGAGAGGAGGGGTTCACGAGACGGGGGCAAATGCAAACGGGGTTCAGTCAGAGCGCCAGATCTTGTAGGATCCTGCAGAGCCAGGGCTGCACTGACCCAGGCTTGGGTGCAGGAGCCTGCAGGATCCTGCAAGATTTTTCAAGATCCTGCAGGGCCTGATTGGCCCTGGTTTTGATTTTCCCAGGTCAGCAGATCCCCGACAAGGAGGGTGGGTGGAGAGAAGGAAGACAAGTTGCCCCCACCGCTGCCTGCGCCAGGCCGGCCCCACACGTACCTGCTGAGGGCTGTGTGGGTCGGGCAAGACGGCGGCCTCAGAACGCCGGAGGGGCCCCGGGGGGTTGGTCCCTGTCCTGCCTCTCTTTCGAGATTCTTACACCTCCAGTCGACCCCAGAAACATACATGGGGAGTTCTTTTTTATCATATATATATATATATACAAAATCTAAGACGCCTACGGCGAATCACCGCCGCCTGCCGCCGATTAGAGACGCCCATGCGGCCAAACGTTGGGCCGACGTCTGGCCAAGCTATTGGACATGTGCTCCCCCAGCCGTTGTGGAAACCCTCGGGGGGGTAATGGGAAGAGGAGGTGGAAGGAGGAGGAAAAGGGAGGAGAAAGAGGAGAAGGAAGAAGAGGCCTCTTGAAGCCCTCTTGAGGTCCCCTGGGGCTCCCTGTGAAACTTTCTGGTGGCTCCAAGGGCCTGTTGGGTGCTTTTTGAGCCCACTGGGGTTCTCCTGGGGCCTCTTGGGAACCTCTTAGGAGCCTCTGGGTGCCTCTATGGGACCTCTTGGCCTTCGAGGGCCGTCTTGGGGCCCGCTTAGGGCCGTGTTGCAGGTTTCTGGGGCCGTCTTGGGGGCCACCTCGGCTGCGTCAGGGCCCTCTTGGGCCGTCTTGCGGGCCTTTTGGGGGCCTCCTGGGGCCCGTCTTCGGGCGATCTTGGGGTCAGAAGCCCGAAAGGGCGAGAACGCTGAACTTATTACTTCTTCAGATGTTTCGGATGGTCGGGCCAGATTCGTTGGAGACGCCCTTCCAGATCTCGGCTCAGAGACGCCTCGACCTGAGGTGGTCCGGCCAGTGTCGCCTGAGACATGAGACCTGTGGCATCTCGTTATATAGTATACAAGTGTTACCAGAACAAGAACTTTTTGTTCGGGCCGATGGGCCGATGACGGCCGTCATCTTGGGGGGGAGTAGGGGGCCGACGCCGCTACGTTTCGCGCCGGCGGCGTCTGGGAATGCTTAGGAAGGACTGAGGACGGGTAGCAACAGCATGTAAGGTTGCGATCTGCACCACAGCGCCTGTGTACACCACAGTGCCTGCGTGTAACACAGCGCCAGTGAGTGCCACAGTGCCTGCGAGCACCATAGCGCTTGTGTGCACCACAGCGCCTGCGTATACCACTTCAGCTATGTGCAACACAGCACCAGTGTACACCAGAATGCCCGCGTGCACCACAGCGCCTGTGTACACCACGGCGCCTGTGTGCACCACAGCAACCGTGAACAACTGAGCACACTTGTTGTATATAGACATGTAGAGGGAATCCGTATGACAACGTAGGGTGCCTGTGGATCCCACAGAAAACAAGTGTTGGATATAGGATTCGGAAAGGAATCTTTATTGAACAAGGAGCGCCGCTGGAATCTCCAAGTCCTCCCTCATCCTTCCCCCCGTCGTGCGGGTCGGAGCTACAGCGTACGGGCGCATCTCAGCGTGCACCGCAGAATTGTCGATTGAATCAGTCCATTTGGTTCTCCGACGGCCAATTCTGCAGAAGCGTTTTGGCCGCAGATGGAAGGAGTCAGGAGGACGCGGGAGGACTCGGCAGCTCAAGGTTCCCAGCTGGCAACGCGGCAGCACAAGGCCCCCACCCAGCTTTCAATACGGACCTCTCGAGGCTCTAATGTCGGCCCCCAGAGCGCGCACTGTGGACTTCGACCTATGCTTTCGCCAGGACCAGGACCCCACAAGCATCGACAGGGCCCCCCAAGGATAGTAGGCAACTGGCTTCCCACTCTCCGTCGGAGACTGCGTGAGGAAAGGCCCCCCCGCCACACGCACACGCGCCCACCCGAGAGGTGCCCAACAGGTCCTGGTTGGCCAGCTCTCCAAGACTGACATCAAAGATGCCTACCAGCCCAGGATGTGCCAGCAATTCGTGGGGGGCCGTCAGAGAATCCACTGCAACTATCGAATGTACGCGAGAAGCGAGAAGGCCCTGCTGGTACGAATGACGAGCAGGCAACGCCGGCACAGGGCGAACAGTTGCGGTCAGGCTCGCGGGAGTTCCATGCATCCAGCGTCGACCCATATTCGAGGACGCTCCAGATCTCGCGCCCACCAACACTGACCGTGGAGGGATGGCCAGGGGAGATCCAGAACATCAGCGTTGGATGACGGACTCTTTCAATCGATGTGCCCCGGCTCTGGCCCAGTGCCGCTGTTACCCGCCTCCTGCTTGTGAGAATGCGTCTCTGAGAGACTCCAGTTCAATCCGGCCTGATCTCGAGGCTTTTGACGAGCAAGAGTACGTGGAGGCCTATGGCCTCCTGGGTCCGATTCCCCCTCTCTTCGCCCCCGCCCCCCCCCTGGTCGGGTGTTGCTAGAAGTGCCCCTGGCCCAAGGTACCCCCAGTTTTTCGCTCCATTCTGGAGCCCCCTAGGGCCCTCTGGGCCTCGTGAGGGGTGCCCTGGAGGCCGCCTGGGCCACCCCGAGGACCCTGGGGGTACTTTGGGCCAGGGGTACGCTTAGCAACACCCGGCCTGGCCCCCCCCCCGTCGCCTCTCGAGCAGCTCGCGCTCGTGGCCGAGCGCGGAGAGGCAGCCGGACGCGGGTCGAAGGCTGCGCGGGTCGAGGCGGCGCGGCCCCGGGACTCTTTGTGCCCCCGTGCGCCCTGGCAGGGCCTCCTTCGGCCTCTCCCGCGGCCTCGGGGCGCGGCCTCTTCCACCCTCCTCATTCGCCTTACTCCTCCCCTTCCACCTGTGAAGAGTGCACTCCCCTGCCCCTCTGCCGCCCGTGTCACCGTGCGTGCATGATGTACACGTTTGTCTTGTTTTGTGGCATGCCCGCTGCCCGCTGCTGTTTTGGCCCTAGTCCTAGGGCCCTGGGACGCACCCGCAGTTTTGACTGCCGCGCAGTCCGAGCTAAAAGAACTGCACTGACATTGGTAGCGGAGCTAGTAAGCTCCAGCGGACGCACTGCGTGCTCTGCTTCGGTGGTTGTGACCACCCGCGTGGGCCGCCATGGCCGCCAGCCAAGACGGCTCAGACGCGGAGGCTGCGTCCTCCGCTGGCACAGGTCCCCCGGACCTGCATGCGGTCCTGCGCGTGATGGCCGAGAGACAGCGGGAGCTCTTGGCCTTGCATCGGGATCGTAGTGGCGACGGCGGTCCCAGACGTGCACGTCTACTGCTGTCGCAGGTGAAGCTCCCAGAGTTCGATGGTGCAGTCGGTACGAGTACTAAGAAGTACCGAGAGTGGCGCAAGGAGGTTGAAGTCATCCGCAACCTCAACCAGCTCGCAGACGTGGAGCTGGGCCTGATCATCTACAGTCAAGTATCAGGTCGAGCCAAGGAGCTCATCGAGGTCCTTGATGCGTCGGACCTCCGACGTGAGGACACGCTCGAGACCATCTTTGCTATCTACGACGACGCCTTCGAGAAGATGGATCACGAGCGCCTCGATCAGGTGCATCAGGAGTGGGAGCGAGCACGCCGTCGAGCTGGGCAGCCCATCATGGATTGGACAACGTACTTGCGCAAGAAGCGCATGGAGCTGCAGCTCGAGGATCCTACTTCAGCGATCAGTGATCGCGCGCTGGCGAGCAAGATGCTTCGTGGCGCTGGACTGTCGCAGAAGGAGCGAGCGCAGGTGCTCTTCAACTGTGGCGGCGTCTACGACTCGAAGCGGATGGAGGTCGTGCTGGAGGCAGCCTACTCGAAGGTGCACGACACCGAGAAGCGCTCGGTGCTCCCTCGCCGCTCGCCGTTTGTGGCGCAGCGTGAGCACGGGCGCTCCTCCGGGAGTTCGGGCGGTCGCTATCCGCACCCTCCCATGGCTCGCAGGCCATGCGTGCTGCGAGGACGCTCCGGCCAGCATGTGCACGAGGTAGAGAACGGTGAAGACTACGATGAACACCACGGCGACCTGGAGGAGGCGCAGCACGACGAAGATGAAGCAGATGAACAGGACGATGGAGACCCCGGAGCTGGCGAGGGGATCATCTTCGAGGACGGCGCTGAGGTCGAAGAGGAGCTGGCGTCGGACAACGACGGGCCAGATGACGAGGAGTACGAGGCACCGGAGGATCTTCAGGAAGCGTTCTTGGCCGGCTGGAGGGCCTTGCAGAAGACGGCAGTACAGCGTCAGAAGCGCGGGTTCGTTGCCCCTCGGCAGCGGGGCCCCAAGAAGATCAACGCCAGCGGCTCCTTCCAGGCTGGTCGGAAGCCGACGGACCAGCGCAAGGCTAACAGCCGGTGTGCTGACTGCGATCAGCCCGGCCACTGGCGTGGCGACCCGGAGTGCCCCAAGGTGAAGAGTGGCGAGCGCGAGCCGCACAACAAGATCGGGCCAAAGAGTGGCCAGCCAGCGTCGCCCAACCAGCGGAGCTCTGTGAAGCCGCCGGCGCCTAGGCAGGCGCATGGACCGATCATCCACTGGGTTGGCATGGCAGGCAGTGCCGAGGAGCGTCGTGGCCGCGCTCCATGGCGCCGTGCTCCCCAGTCGGTGCCTGCCCAGAGGCATCCGGTGGAGGGTCGAGCTGATGCTCCAGGGCGGATCGTCATGAATCCCAGGCCCAAGAGCACGCCTGCGCCGAGCCTACGCCGGGGCGCCGACGATGGCCCAGGGCCCGCACAGAGCAGCGATGAACGTGCGCGCGCCCGTGCCAGGCGCGGGGAGGATCAGGAGGACGAGGATGCATGCGTGCGTTGCCATCGCATTCTGGCCAACACCCACCCGAAGGGGCACAGCGTGGAGTTGGAGTTTCCTGACCTTGCCACGGTCCATCGCATCGTGGAGCGCGTGACGAACAAGAAGCCCATCTTCTTCAAGCAAGGCCGCTTCGAGAGCCTCGACTTCGTCCAGGGTCGGCTCATGCGTCTGCAGCTGACCACGCCGAAGCCTTGCACGGCGGCTGAGGTGGATCTCGACGAGATCACGGCAACTATGTTCAAGGTCGCGATGGGCGGCAATCGTGATGCCAAGCCCCGTGACGATCGGCGCGGTGAAGGCGGGAGTCGTGACACCAAGCAGCGTGAAGATCATCATCGAGATCGTCGTGACGACCGCCAGCGTGATCGGGGAGCTGTTCTCCGTGAGC